TTTACACACTCATGTTGGAGGAGGAGAAAGCCTGTGGGTTCTGAGCGACCCCTGGGCACTGGCTTCCTGCTGTTAAGGCTGCATCTTCTTATGTCCTCTTCTCAGCCGGGCACCCAAGGCCCTGCCCACCCAGCCCCTACCAGAGCTGTGGCTGCTTCTGCCCTAGCGCTCTGGCGCTTTCCCCTGGGCCAGCCCCTGGGCCTTTGCATGTGCTATTCCCTCTGCTTGGAATCCTTTTTCCTGTTCACCTAATTCTTCTCATCTTGCAATTCCTTTTCATTTTTCCCACTAAGTTGACATCCTTGCTCCAACAGCACCGTGTATTTCCCCCAGCACTGTCATTGTACATTTTGTTCTTTGGTTACGTTATTTATTGATTTTAGAGAGAGGGGGAGAGGGAGAGGGAGAAAGAGACATCGATGAGAGAGAGAAACATCCATCAGCCGTCTCCTGCACTCCTCTTACTGGGGTTCAAGTCTGCAACCCAAGCCTGTGCCCAGCTGGGAACTGAACTGGCGACCTCTCCGTGTATGGACTGAGTGTCAACCAACTGAGCACACCAGCCAGGGCTACTGTTTGGTTACTTTCTATTGAATTTCTGTTTCCTCTCACCCACTCCTGGCCACATCTCCAGTGCCTAGCACAGTGGCCGGCACATGGTAGGTACCTATAAATATTTGCTGAGGAGAGGGACCATCATACTAGTATTTGAATCTCATGGCAACCCCGTGAAGCAAGCAGGGTTGAGATGCTCACTCCTGTGTTATGGAGGAGAGTGAGACCCAGAGAGGAAAGGGGCCAGTCCAGTCTTCTGATTTGTGGACACAGTGAGACCTGGTGACGATGGTCCTGACACCTCTCCCAGACACCAGGGGACAGGCGAAGGATGAGGGACGGGGCCTCGCCAGCCAGGGGGCTTCCAGCCTCCCCAGATTAGAATCAATAAGCATGGCCGTCCCTGTCCCTCCCCTGCCCAGGTCACAGGGGAAGGCCAAGGAGGTTGGCAAGAGAGAAAACAAAGTTCTGCTCAGAAGAGAATTGGGGGTGGTGGGCCTGTGACCATGTGTTTGAGAGCCAGGAGGTCAGAGCAGGAAGGAAGGTGCTGTCCCTGCCCAGGAAGGTCCAGTGGGGACAGTGGGCCTCTATCTTCCTGTGTGAGTTTCAAGCATTGACCGGCCAGCTTGAACTCAGCCATTGCTTATGTATTTATTATTCCTTTAACCTCAGTCACAGGGAACATAAGATCCAGGGGAAGCATGCTCTGGAGTAGGTGACGTGGGTCCAAAGCCACCTCCACAACCTCTCCTTTTTGTGATTTTGGACAAGTGACTTCACTTCTCTGGGCCTCAGTTTCCCCAGCTATGAAAGGAGGGGAGGATAATAGTTCCTATCCCACCGGGTTGTTATGGGGCTTCTATGGATATTCTAAGGGAAGTTCTTCCTGAGGTGCCTGGCATAGAGAAATATGCGAAGACAACATCACAGAGAGCTTGCTCTGCACAGGCCCTGACTTGGGTCCCTTTACAATTTACTAAGCCCTCCTGGCTGACCCCGTGTAGGAGACAGGCTGAACTGCCCATTCTCTTCTTCTGATTCCCTCAATGGCACTTAGCTCAGGGCAGTGGACCCAGATTTACACAATAACAGGATGTGGATGACTTTCAGACATCCCTCTCCTACATTTTACAGATTGGAAAACTGAGGCCTTGAGAGGGGCAGGGGTTTGCTCCAGCTACACAGTGACTCAGGCAGAGTGGTGGCTGCATCCAGGCCTTGGCAGGTGTTGGGGTGGGAGGTGGTCTCTGATGTAGGTGCTCAGAGGGCACATTCTCCCACCACCTTCCCCCTTGCTCACTCTGCTCCAGCCACGCTGGCCTCCCTGTAGTTCCTCATGACCACCCCAGGGCCTTTGCACTTGCTGCTCCTCTAGTCACTAGAGCAGTGACGGCGAACCTATGACACACGTGTCAGAGGTGACACGCGAACTCATATTTTTGGTTGATTTTTCTTTGTTAAATGGCATTTAAATATATAAAATAAATATCAAAAATATAAGTCTTTGTTTTACTATGGTTGCAAATATCAAAAAATTTCTATATGTGACACGGCACCAGAGTTAAGTTAGGGTTTTCCAAAATGCTGACATTTCCCTGATCACCCTAAGTTGGGCCCTCTGTAATCTTTTACCTCTGTCTCCTGTTTATTTTCTTCATTTGCAATATATTAATTTGTTAATTTAGTTTTTAAATGAAAAACAGTTGGTTTTAGCGTCGGTCCCTCGAGCCCGTTAAGCTCTATGCGTATAGAACTGTGGACAGGTAACTTGTTTGCTGCTCCATCCCCATCACCTATCCAGGCCTGGACCCAGGTGGATCCTCAGTACATTGCTGTGTGAATAAATGAATGTGTGCATGAATGGATATACATTGAACTTGCCTGCCTTCCCTGTGAGCTAGATCCCAGTCTCCTTATTGTGCAAACACAGACAGAGAGGCTCAGAGAGTTCTCACCAGGTAGGGCTGGAATGTGTTAGAAACTAAAGGCCTTTGGACTTCCCTGCCCTCAAGCCACAAGGGAACATCAGCTGTGTATTCCCACATTAGTCGAACACAAGAAAGTAACACATTTAAGCTGGACATGGCCTGGACCAGACTGCGTTCTCTGAAGGGCTGCTCCATCAAACTATGCTGGGTCACCAAGGCAACACTGATCGCGTTCTGAAACATTTTTAAATAGGAGAGGTAACGGCTCACACAGACATCACGGGCTGGACAATCTGGAAAAAGGGGTCAAATCCCCCAAGCGGCGATCTATCCTTATGCTGGCTGCACCCATACCCCCTGCAAAGGGCCACCTTCTGCCCCACCCATGGCTGTCGTCTCTGGGCTGTGCACAGTGAACTCTCCCCCAGCCGTGGCTGGGAACATGCAGAGAGCTCAGGAACAGTGTGCTCTGTCTGCCTGGCTCCCCCAGGACCTACCAGGTGCCAGTGGGAAACACAGACAGGTCTTGGAGAGCTTTCCAGAAAGTTCCTTCAGCTCTTGATATTGGTGAAGGGGACACCACTCCAGCATTTCTATGTTCAGTGCCAAGATGCCTCCAGAGAGCTCTGGACGAGGGAGGCAGCTTGTGGGTGCCTGTGCTGCCTTAATGAAATCCTTTCCCTCTCTGAGCTCTAATTTCTTCATCACGAAAATGAGGAGAACACTGGTCTGATGTAGGGAGAGGTGACAAGGATTCTTCAGAGGAGCCTGCAGATGCAGGGATCCCCGAAGCCAGTTCCTAAGAGCAGTGGCCCCCAGGAGACCCGGCAGCGCCAAGGCCACGCCAGCCACGCCCCCCACAGGCCTTGTGCTGCCCAGAGCCCTTCAGCTGGTCTTGTGTGCAGCCATCATGAGCATCATGGTCAGAGGGCCCTTAGAGGTCTGCACGGCTTCCATCCTGACTGCACAGAGGGAAACGGAGGCTCAGAGAGGGCCAGGGTCTGACACTGCCTGAGCAGGACACAGCTGTGTCCTTGATAATCTGGGGCAACCTGGGCAGGAGCTGGAGCCTGGGGCCAGGCCTTGGAGTCAGGGAGAATGGGAGGGGAGGCAGAGATGGAGAGAAAAGAGATGGGCATCAGAGACGGATGGAGAAAAAGTGGTCACTGGTCTTGCCTTCCCAGCATCGCTGCTTCCAGAAACAATGTCTGTTTCCCCACTGCTTGTCCACCTGCCATGTGACTTAGGTGGGACAGACCCCACCCCCTGGTTCCAGGCAAGATCATGTGACCCAGGTCTGGTCAATGAGAATCACAGTGTAAGTGCAGGAATGGGCACAGGACCAGTCCTGGCTTGAGAGAATCATGCCCTCGCTGGGACAGGGCAGCTCTCTGCCTCAGAGATGCTGGGCTGGGAGGACGTGAGCCAGCTGGTGGGGCCCTCTTGTCAGGACCGAACATAGCTGGGAATGAAGTCAACAAGGCAGATGGCAGAACCGGGAGATGAAGGGGGACACCATTTGAGTGCCTGGATCTAACCACACCTGAATCCACCTCTAGACTTGTTATGTGAGCCAATCCATTCCTTGGGATAAGGTTTCTATGCCCTGCACTGGAGAGTCCTGGCTTGGAGGAGGAAGGAAGGTGAGAGGGAAGGGTGACTATTTAAAAACAAGTGTCTGGCCCTAGTTGGTCTGGATCAATGAATAGAGTGTCAGCCTGCAGACTGAAGGGTCCCAGGTTCAATTCCGGTCAAGGGCACCTGCCTGGGTTGTGTGCTCCATCCCCAGGGGGGGGCGTGCAGGAGGCAGCCAATTAATGATTCTCTCTCATCATTGATGTTTCTATCTCTCTCTCCCTCTCCTTTCCTCTCTGAAATCAATAAAAATATATTTAAGAAACAAAACAACAAACAAACAAAAAACAAGTGTCTGAGGGTAACCAAACCAGCTTTTTTGATCTTTTAGAGAACGGGGGTGCAGACAGGAATTTGGGCCTTCACCCCACGCAGAGGAGTCTGTCCCTGAGGCTCCCAGCTCCCCTCTCCACTCCTCTCCAGCACATAGCAGTATACAAATAAATGCTGTGGATACAGTAATACATGCTCACCCTACTGGGTCCAGCAGAAGGGATGACATACACTAGAGGCAATTTCTCACCCCATTCACCTCTTTGGGAACTAATATTTATTAGGCACCTGCTTCATACCAGGCTCTGGCCAGAAGTTGACATACAGGGTCTCATCGCCTCCTTGCCCCAGCCCAGAGAGGAGTGAGGGTCAGCACCTCCATTTCACAGACAAGATAATTGAGGCCATGAGAGGCTGAGCCATAGGCCTCAAGTCCAAAGAGCTGGAGCAGGTGTGTCCAACTCCAAGCCCTACCCACGGTACCACACTGCACACAGTAGGCCTCATTGGGACTGAAGAGGGTGACACAGTGAAGGGGGAGTGAAAGAAGCTCATGAGGAGTCCTTGGTCTCCCAGACCCCCAGCTGTAACATCATGTTGGACGCAGAGGCTCCTCTCTGACCTTGTCCTCTGAAAGAAGCTCATGGGGAGTCCCTGGTCTCCCAGACCCCCAGCTGTAACATCATGTTGGACGGGGCAGGAGGAGAGGGCTAGGGGTTCTGGCTTAGACCTGGGAGGATCTGGACCTGCAGATTGGTGTCCTGCCCACGGCAGTGTGGACAGTCCCTGGTAATGCCTGTACTTGAGCGAGGGTGAGCTGGGCTTACAGGGAGTGCTGAGGGCAGCCCTAGGCAGAGAGCTGGCTTCCTGGGGCCAGAAGGAGCCTGGGAGATCACTGGTCCATAGCAGACAGGAAACTCAGGGATGGTGTGTGTCTGTTTTAATCCAACATTTCTTTCCAGTTGTTTTAGAGACTACGTGAGACCTTCACTGTGGCGTTTGCAGCCAGAAAGGATGAGTCGCTGGGGGTGGGAGATGGCGCCCTGGGGCTCCTCCTCATGACACTTGAGGACTAGCTTTTTCCAGAGGCATCCACCGCCCCGAGAGATGCTCTGCGAGAAACAGAGCCCATTTTCAAATAAGCACATTTGGAGAAAGCTGCCCACTCCAGCCCCTTCACGGGCAGTCACAGAGTACATGACCACAGTATAGGCTCTGACAAGTCCTGCAGCTAAGAATGCCTGTCGACACTGACTTAACCTGGCGCTCTCCTCTCTCACTTGACCAGAGGTACTTTGAGAGGGAAGTGTGAGTTATTCTCTGTGGAACATATTCTGGAACCTGCTGGGGGTAAAGAAATCTCTGTTAGATCTCCTGGAACCCTTGAGAGACCAGGGTTGAGTTCCAGATGCTGGGGCCCGGGAGTGATGGGCAGTGTGGGGTGGAAATAATGATTCCTGTTATGGGGTAGATGCAGGCCTTTCAGCCTGGGACAGTTCAAGGACAGCTCAAGGCTGAGAAGGCTTGGAACAGGCACTGGCCTTCCCACCAACCCTGGGGCTAGAATCTGGGGCTCCATCTGAGCACTTTCCTGCCTGCAGATACCCTCCCACCTGCCTGAAATTCCCTCCCTAGCCAGGCATTCCTTGGAGGAGCCAAGGTGTCTGTTCTCAGCTCATTCAGGGTATTGAGACCCTCAAGTTGGCAGGGGCCCCTGCAGAAGACTGGAGAAAAGAGGGGTCCTGCAGAGACAGGAACCCCCAAACGCCCCCCATGTCACAACTTGAGGACGACAGGGAAGCAAGGCAGCTGACTCTTGGGGACTCGTGGGGCGAGGAGGGCTGGCTCGGGGGATCCAGGTGTCCAGGCGCTGGCACCGTGTCCTGTGCTGGGGCCCAGCTTGCCCAGGGTAGCAAGTCCTGTCTCCTCCTGTGGCCCAGCCTTCGTGCGAGGCTGCTGTTAGGTGCCGATGGGACGCACCATCATGCGAGTGGCCCGCAGCGAGTAGCTGGGGCCCTGGAAGTAGTGCCAGCGGATGCCGTTGAGCTTGCGCAGGTGGCGGCCAGCTGGGTAGTAGATGCCGTTCAGGTTTGAGAGGCCACAGGCGTCAAACCACCACCCTGGGGGAGGGGAGGAAGAGGCTTTGGGAGCTGGGGGCCCACCAGTGGGGTGAGGGCAGCCCCCTACCTCAAAGACTAAGCAGGCCTTTGCCTCCTCCAGGAAGTCAGCTCCCCGGATGGGGCTGGTGGGAATGGCCATGGGGGTGGGAGCGCGACTCCCAGACCCTCTGCCCAGCCTGGGGCCCCAGGAGGGTGGCATTGGGCTCCAGTTGCCCCTCTCGGCCCCTCATCCCTTCACCTTGTCCCTAATCCCTCTGTGTCCCTGTCTCCCTCCCTCGCCTCCTCTCGCACAAGTCCCCATCTCCCTCTCTCTGTGGGGACAATGCTCTCTGTCACCTGAGTCTCTAACACCCTGGGGTTGTCTCTTTCTCTCTCTGATGGTCTCTGTGCTTGTCTGTCACTCTGTGGGTCTCTCTCAAGCCGGGCTCCTCTCCTGATGGCCACCCTCTCTGCCTTTCTGGCTCTCTCTGTCTCTCACACACCGTGTTCCTTTCTCTTGCCCTGATTTGCATTTCTCCCTCCATCTCTCCTTTGTACGTCTGCCCCTGTGTAGCTCTCTGTTGCCACCACTCTGTCTCTGTGCCAGTTCCGGAGTTTCTCTCGGTCTCCACCTGTCCCTGGCTCTGTGTCTCAGGGGGTCTCCCGTCTCCCACCGGTGGGTGGATGGGCTTCCCCGAACCCCGCACCCACCTCCGGACAGCATCTGGGCGCACTTGCACAGGCAGTTGTCGTTGTCTGCGTCTCGGGTGCTGAAGTTGGTGCCCTCCAGGGCCAGGCTGCTCTGGGGCCCCGCCGAGCCACTGTACCCGCTCAGAGAAAGCCTGGAAGCCACCCGGAGGTGGTGGTGGGAGAAGGGCGCAGAGTCAGGTTGGGGCTGGTTGAGGAAGGGGCTCTGAGCTGGTCGTTCTGGGGGCGGGGAGCCCCCGCCCGGAGTGCGTGGGCCGCCTCCCTCCTGGATTCACACTCCCTGCCTGCTGCCTCTCAGGCACCAAGCACCCGCCGTGTGCCAGGCCTCCCTCGACTCGATGAACTGAGTCTTACACGGGAGTAGCATGATCATGACAACAGTAACAGTGAGGGCAATGGCTAACGTTTTTAAAAAAATCTACCATGTGCCAGGCATTGTTCAAAACACTTTACATGGTTTAACTCATCCGTTTCATCCTCACAAAACTCAAGTATTTCCATTCTACAGACGAGGAAACAAAGGTCCCAAGAACCAGAGGAGCCGGCCTAAGGTTTCAGAATGAAGGAGGGTGGGAGCCAGATCCCAGCCCGGGGGGGCCTGGCCTGGAGCTATGTGCATTTTCCTCCCCCGCTGACCATGTGCAACCCCAGCCCATCATACCTCCTCACACCCACCCACCTCCTCCAGGAGGCCTTCCCTGACCACACCTGCCCACCTGGACCTGTGCCCGGTGAACCCCTATCCCTATGACTTCCACCTCTGCAGCCGGCTGGGGAGGGTCTCTATTTCTCTGCCAGGCTGCGAGTCTCAGCTCCACCACTGGCCAGTTGCATGACCTTGGGCAGACTGCTGCACCTCTCAGCTTCCATTTCCTCATCTGTTAAGGTGGTAATGATCTGGTAAGGTGGTAATGATAGTGTTCACGGTGCCGATCGGCTATTGTGATTTGATGACTTCAGGGTGTGATGGGTGCAGAGCGGCGCTGGCCCGTGATAAATGCTCAGCAAGGTAACGCCGCTTGCTATTTGCCCCTGTGCTCCTGGCCCTTGGCACGCAGCTGGCACAGGCTCCCACTAGGCCTGGTTGGAGTGTTGGGTTCTGGTAGCAGGGAAGGAGCTGCACTGGCCACGGAGACAAGGACCCAGTTTGGGAGCAATAAAGAAGGCCCTCCAGGTGAAGGCAGGTGGACGCCAGATGCGGCCAGGGCAGCTCAGGGACTCTGGGTCTGCAGGGAGAGCCGGGAGCTTTTCCCCGTGGGGCCAGAAGGAACGTGGGGCTAGAGCATAGGGCCTGGCTGAGTCCCTGCACCTCCCACCCACAGGCTCTGTCTGTGGCGAGGCAGGCACATGGCCCTCAGGGCCCAGATCACTGTGGCCAGCCATGAGGCTCTGTGCCCTCAAACATGCCACCTGGGGCTCAATCGACTGGTGTTGCAAACTGGCCCTGGCAAGAGCCCTGTCTGGCCAGGGGCTCCCAGGCTGGGGACAAGCAGCCTGTCCACCTGCTAACATGGTCCTGGCGGTTCCTTGTGGCCACTGAGGGCTCCTCTTGAGGGCTCGGCGATGTCAGCTCCAAGCCAGGCTCTGGGCACAGGCTACAGTTTGGGGTCCTACTCAGTCTGGGGCTGTGTGGAATCAGCACTGGACTGGCCTCTCTCCTGTCCCCAAGTCCTCAGTTCAGCTCTGCCTTCCTTCCTCTCCCCTTTGGGAGCCAGCCTAGGGACCTGTGATCTCTGGGGGACCCCCAGTCATGGACCAGGAAACCCCACTTGACCCGCTGTTCAGATGCACTTTGAATATGTTCATAGCTCAGTCCTGGGGAACCCAAACAAAGACACGAGTCTCTGGGGATCCCCAAGTTAGAAACATCAGGTGTGTCTTCCATGTGTCTGCGAATCCGCATACCAGTCTATGTGTCTGTAGTGTGATACCATCTTCCAGTCTAGCGTGTGTGTGTGTGTGTGTGTGTTGAGTTTGTGCTAGAATATCTATTGTGGGTCCAGGGTGTGCTTGGGAACCTGCCTTTGTGCCTGGGGTTGTGCATGTTTACCTGTGAGGGCTTCTGTGGAGGGACATTTGCACGCGTGTCCGGGTGTCTCTGTGCCTGTTTGTGTAGCTATGCACTTGTGTGATATTGTGCTCTGCATGTGCCCCAGGGGTGTGGCGAGCCCCTGCACGTGTGAATGCCTGTCTTTCTTGTAGTCAGGCCTGGGCGGTGAGTGCCTCTGGGAGGCGTGTGCCCAGTGTCTGTGTGTGCGCGCCTGGTGTCTTTTCTGTGCCCCCCCTCCCCTCCCCATGGGCCACTTTCTCCTTAGGGTTGTGCACGTGCCCCAGCTGGACTCCAGAAGCCCCCATGATTGTGACTGACAAATAAGGGTGTCCCTCCTGCCCCTGATGCCCATGCCCCAGCTGCTGACTGCCAACGCATTGCTGCCTCTGGACTTTCCTCTGGGCATCCTCCTAACCTTACCAGCTGGCCGGTCCTGTCTGGTGGTGGCACAGGGACCAGTGTCTGCCCTGTCACTTTCCTCCTGGCCCTCCTTGGGCAGTTTCAGGCCCCACTGTGCTTTCCAGGATCTCCACCCCGGTCTCCTAAGCTTTTCCTGAATGAGCGGGGACGCTCCCTGGTCATCTCAGCAGCCTTTGAAAGAGCCTTGCTCAGGCTTCAGGTGTCTGTGGCCAACAAATGTCAACTCTCTCTTTGTCTTTTTCAAACATCCCCACTGCCTGGGATGTCCTTCCTGTTCTCTCTTGGAGAATGCCCACCCATTACAGGCATCACCTCAGTGCCTCAGTTTCCACATCACTAAAAGAGGTACAGCCATGCTTACCTCAGAGTGTTGTGGGAGGTTAACTAGAGTAATGTGCTTGGAACATGGTAGGTGCTCAATAAATGCTCATTCCTTTTCCTAAACAGAGCCAAGAACCAGGCTGAAGGAGGGAGGCCTCGATGGTTTTAAAATATGCTCATATTCAAGCCCATCCTGTTGTTAAAAAGCAGAGGTGCCGAGAAGCCAGAACCTTGACTCATCCAAGCTCTCAAAGTGAGCTGGAGGCAGAATGAGCCCAGGTCCCCGATTCCCAGCCCAGGGACCTTTCCGTCTCATCCCGTAGCACAGGGCACGCTGGGAAGTCTGAGCCTCTGTAAAGTGACTGCCTTAGGGTGATTGACCTTGGAAGGCCCTTCCTGCTCACGAGATGACAGCATCAGCAACACTGTCTCCACCCCACCCAGTGGCTGGGATGTGCTGAGTGCTAACCAGCCGCCTCCACATCCCGTGACGTGCGCCCAAATGGGGGACAGATGGTAGGAACAGGAAACGCCCAGCGACTGACCCTTGGTGCAGACTCTGCAGCCACTAGCCCAGGGTCCTCAGTCCACCCACCAGCCTGGGCCCTGAGCCCACCTGTACAGCTGCCCCTCGCTGCCCAGCTGGAAACGCTCATATTGGGCATAGGCCTCGTTGCCTTCCCAGTCTTGCAGCTCCACACGCAGAGAGTAGGCAGCCCTGCTGGTGAGATGGTGCACCAACTCGTTGCCCAGCCAGTGCTCCCCAGCCAGGTCACCGAAGCCCTAGGAGGAGAGGAAGGACAGCGTGGGTTGTATGCCAAGGAGGGAGGCTATGCCCCAGGCTGAGAGGCTGGGCTGGGCCAGGGCCTGGGGTCACTTATCCAAAACCACTTGGCCTAATGCTCAAGTTCATAAAGTACAGTGTGGGCAGAACTGGGGAGAGGGGAGCTCCCCAACTTCTAGAGAAAAAAAAACTAAGACTTTTGCAACTATAAAAGTCTGTTAAAATAATTGAATCATGTTCTATTAAGTTTAAGAACAGGTCAAACGAATCTGTGTTAATAGAAGTCAGAATAGCAACTTCCTTTGGGCGAGTACTGACTGGGGCGGAGGGGGGAGCCCACGGAGGGCTTCCGGGGTGCTGGAGGTGTCCTATATCTATATCCGAATGGTGGTCACATGGACGAGCACCTATGTAAACATGCACTGACTTTTACACTTAAGGTTTGTGCACTTAGTGCATCTAGGTTAAATCTCAATTTAAAAATTAAAGATTTTAATCAACGGCAAAAATGATAGAGCGAACTTTGTTCAGTGACATGGAAGCAACTACAAAATTCCAGCAACATAGACACGTAAATAAAAGGGAGTCACGGATTTCTTGGGTTGACAAGAAATCAATGTCCTCAGCTAGAACACTAATTCAGCACCAAGGACAAGGCGCACCTAAGCCCCACTCCCCACTTTAGCCTTGCTGTGCAGCTGATTCCTGTAATGGTTACTCTGCAGCACTCTTTTCTGTATTTCTGGATCTGAGCACCCTGTATATCTTTGCTATTTTAATGACTGTTTCAAATCAAATAGACTCAAGAACACTCATAGCTTAATTTGGTATTTAAGCATTTATCAAATGGACAGCAAGCAGGCACAAAAAAATAATATTGTTGTGTTTCCTTGTGGGTATCTTTGTCCATTTCTTTTGCTTTTGAAAACTAGAAGAGCTTTTCAGCCAGCTTGCCAGAAATCCTTTATTCATAATTTAATTTTAAAAATTGGAAGACAATTGAGCTCTACTTCTTATCTTGTAAAATGCACCTGGTTTTTGAGCCAGCAATTCCACATTACAGATTCTCTCCTGCAGATGTGGTCACCTACGCGTACAAAGACAAGGAAATTCACTTAAGCAATGCAGCCAGGAGTGCGGGAGAGAGATTACTGTTTTTATGTTCCCTTTCTTTGTAGTATTCAAATTTTTTTAGCACTGTACATATGTCATCTTTTCTAAAATTTAAAACAAAAAGAAGTCAAAGTTTCATTATTTGATATATGTCAGAACTTGCAGAAAGAAGGTCTAAATTTAGAGCATAGAGTCCCTGAAAGTGAATGTGCACCGGGAAAGTTTGTTTGAAGGTGGTTGGTTTGGGGTGGGCTGATTTTTTTTTTTTAGGAAGGGTTAAGGACAAAGCATTCCCCTGTCCACAGCCCGCCTCCCACCCCAGGTTTCAGAGCTGAAAAGCCCTCCTCAGGGCAGCAACGTTACCTGCTTATAATCTTTCCAGTTCCGCTGAAAATTCACGCTGCCATTTGCACGGCGCTGAATGAGGGTCCACCCACCTCCATTGGCTTCCATGTCACAGAAAACCTGAGGGAATTGGTGGGGAGAGGGGGTTGGGAGTCTGCGGAGGCAGCCAGATGCCAGGTGTGTGGGCCAGCTCAAGTGCGATCTGGCCAACAGAACCTCACATAACAGCAGGTGAGCCTGGTGGTCAAGGGCATCAGAATGACCCAGGTTCAAATTCCCCACCCACTGTCATTATTTTTCTAGAGGGCAAGTGATGCCCTCTCAGAGCCTTCCTTTCCTCATTTGTAAAATGGGCTATTAATACCTTAACCTCCTGGCATCTCAGTTTCTCGTCTGCAAACTGGGGTTGTTGTGAGAATTAAATGAGATGAATCATCTACAGAACAGAGCCTCGCATGCACTAGGAACTAAATAAATGCAGGCTTTTCACTCACTATTGTTGCTGAGCTGCTGTAAGGATTAAGTGCTGATGAGTGTAAAGTGCTTGGCACACCGTATAGACTCAAGAAATGCTATTCCAGTCAGTGGACAAATGTTTTCTGAACACGTCCTATGGGCCGGACTCCATTCAAAGCACTGGATGCCAATATGGGCAAGACAGAAAGAGTTCTGTCTCTCAAAATGCTTACCATCGACGACAATCACACCTTTCAGTCTAACCTTTGTTCACATATTATTTTTTTCCAGTTCATTACATGTTCATTGTTCAATGAAGACAAACTTGGTGCCTGGCCCTGGGTCAGAAGAGTCAGAGACAGATCAGATGTACACTGACCCTCAGTTTGTCAACTGACTTGGTTTGGAGGAGGCTAGGATAGTGCAGGCAGACTACTGATGACAAACATTTGGGCAGCTACAAGGAGAGCCCTCAAAAGGGAGTCACTGGAAAACCCTGGAAGGCTTCCCAGAGGAGGTGGCATTGGAACAGGGCCTTGGTTGATAATGTGCCTGTCAGGTAGAGATGAGCCTGGCATTTTCAGTGGAAGGAGCAGCAGGAGTAGAGGCTCTGAGATGGTAAAGGCCTGCTCAGTGAGAGAAGACAGTGGCATCTTCGTGAGGATAACAGAGGGTGCAGGGAGGAAAACAGGCCCAGAGAGGGGAAGGGATTTGCTCGAAGCAAGTGAGTCTAAGTAAAGCTGAGGTCTGAGCACAGACCTCTTGCCTCCCAGGCCAGCTCTTCCCTCTGCCCAAATTTCAGCCATTCACACCTCCCCAAATTCCCCCAAAGCTCAATTTATTTAATTTCATATGGAATGTTTACTTTAAAAGGACTTCTTATCAGGACCCTAAGTGGAAAACTAATAAGACTTGCCTTTGTTCAGATTCATCTAAAATAAATATAATGAAAAAAATGTGTTATGAAATTCTAGCTAGAAATGGAGAGCCTGGTCTCTCTTTGTTAAAAGGGGACTCTGGCAGGTATGTTAAAGACAATCTGGAAACAAACTGAGCCACTCTCCTCGCTATATTCAGAAGGGCTGAAAGGAAATGGAGAAGGGAAGTGTGAAGGCTGGCAAACTGTTCCTCATACCCTTCCCCTACTGGGCCTGGCCCCAAACCCTCCCTCTTGACCTCCACACTTTCCCTTGACCTCCCCTCCCACCCCCCGGTTCCATCTGATAACTGGACCTCAAAGCTCAGGGCAACCTTGGGAGCCACTCAATGAAGACAGTCCCTAACTTCCCAGTGGAGCAGAGAGCCCCCACTCCTGCCTCCACTGACTATATGTCAACTAGAAATAAACTTCTTTGTGTTAAGATCCTGGAATTCCAGGGGTTGTTTGTTACATCAGCTAGCAGTGCCTTAACCAACATAGAACTATTTCCTGTGATTCCGACCTAAAGGCATCTCTGGAGAAGATGCAGGAGAAGGATGCACTTCCAACTTGGGAACTTCTGTGTGAACCCCTTCTTTTCCAGAAGGAAGGGCCACCCACCTTCTTTGGAATCTAAGATGTTGGACAGGCCTGCAGTTGATGAGGGAGGAGGATTTGTCTGCGAAGCCCTTGGCTCAGTACCTCTGATAGCCCCAGCCCCCAGAGAGCCCCCTAACCTTTCTGGGCTCTGTCATATTGGCCACGTGGATGGTGTAGACGCCACTGGTATTGGCCCCGAAGCTCTGGATCTCTGCACAGTCCTGGAACACCCGCTCAGCTGCAACTGGACGAAGCAAAAACAACTTCAGGTGAGCGAAGAAGAGAGAGAAGAGGCCAGGTGGGCACTCCTGCCTGCTTGGTGCCAGGTTCCTGGTTGGGAGGTGCTGGGGACAGGGAGATGAATCGGACCTGAGAAGGTTTCCTAGAGGAAGTGACAGTGAGCTGGGACCTGGGTAAGGAGCAGGCATTGCCCAAGTGGCACAGGAGAGGGTGTTCCAGGCAAAGAGAACAACATATGCAAAGGCTCCAAGGTGGGGACAGTCCTGGTGTGTGCAGGGAACAGGGCGCAGTGAGGGGAACTGAGTGAGGCCGGGAGGGGAAATGACTCACACCATGCGAACGGGTCTGAGGCCAGAGAAAGCTCTGGTTGTCTGATCAACCTGAGAGGAGTAGGGCAAGGCTGGCTCAGAGAGGGTCACCAAGGACGGACACATGAGGAGGGATTTGTCCTTGGCGCTCCCTTGGGTGGGAGGCTCAGAGTCCCCTCCACAGGCCACCCCTCCCCCTGGGTATCCCTGCAGCCTGGAGGTGGGCCCCCCATAATGCCCCCACTGTGAGCTGACCACTGGTCTTAGGAGCCCATGTTTCTTCCCTCAGGAGAATATTAGTGACCCAATCCCACTAGAAACCCTGGGGGTCTCAAGCCTGATCTGAAAAAAAAAAAAAGTGACTGTTGACCAATAGAAAGGGATTAAAATTCCCCTCTCTGCCTAATTTAGAGGGATCCAATTATAGGCTTGAGCTACGAGTCCTTCAGAATTCAATTTCTAGGTAGGTGGTTATCCAAGGATGGGCTAAAATTCCAGATAGACAGGTATCCTCACCCATGAGGAACCAGGAGGCTACCAAGGGGCAGGACTTCCTGTTTTGACCTCATACTTGAACCTGGATCCCAGGTCCTGGAGCTGGGGCATGTGTTAGAAAGAAGCAGTTTTCCTAGATCACAGATGAAATGACTAAGGCCCCACATCCACCAGCATGGACATTCCCTGGGCAGATGCCGGGCGACGCACCAGCTGGTGATGGGTTTGGGTCACCTTGCATCTCAGGGTTTGGCAGGCATCCGCCTCTTCTGCCATGGCTTCCTCAGGTCTCTACCCCCCACCCCGCAGGGTCTGCCTGACTTAGATGGAGCCATGGTGCCATCCTGTCCCCAAATAGCTGCCAGCCCCAGTGGCCTGGTGTCCAACACGATAGCTACATTCCTTGTGCTATCAGGCTTTCAGCCTCCCCCATGGAGACCCGGAGGCAGTAGGAACCCTTTCCTGGGTCTTTCTCACTAAGCCAACCTCCACTCCATGGCTCTAATCAAGCTTCCTGAAACAGTCCTAGCTGTTCAAGCTGCACTCGGGTTAAAGTTCCCTTTCCTAGCACAGCCTTTTAGGCCTTTCATGGTCTGCAAAGTTCAGAAACACGACTAGCAGAGCATCTGGCACATAGTAGGCACTCAACAAATACGCATTTTCTTCTTCTTTCCTCAGAGACACACACAGACGGGGTGTGGGGTGGGGTGGGCATTTTTACAAGAGACACAGGCCATGGCTACCTTGTTCACTGCTGTATGCCCAGCACCCAGCACTGGGCCTGGTGCCCAGGAAGTGTTTGGTGACTGAGTGATTGGACTGGAACCAGGAGTGCCTTGGCCTCCCCTGGTGGGACGCGTCAGAAGGAGCCGGTGAGGACTGAGGAGCAGGCCCAGGCATTGTTCTCCTTCTCAGAAGTCAGGGCCAGAGGTGCCACCTTACTTCTCTTTGGCCCTCGTTGGCTCACGGGCAAGGGTGTTAGGATGAGAGAAGCCTTTGGGGGAACAGTGAGTCTAACCTCCCCATTCTACAGGTAGGGAAACTGAGACCCAGCAAGTGGGAATCCTGAAATCCAAAATTGTTCATCTAAGCTGGTGGTGCCCTTGTTATTATCACCATTTCCATTAAACAGATGGGGAAACTGAGGACAAGAGAGGGACGGGGCATGCCCAGGGTTCCTCGTGGAGTCAGGGAGAAGAGTCTGGATTGGTTCGTTAGGACTGTTCACAGGTGGTGGGAGAGGGGTGAGGCCTTTCCCTTGGTGGCTTCAAGGCCGAGGCTCGGGAATGAACAGGGAGGGCAAGCAGGTGGTCACCAGTATTATTATTTGTTGCTGTTATTTCTATTTCACAGGTGGTGGGAGAGGGGTGAGGCCTTTCCCTCGGTGGCTTCGAGGCCGAGGCTGGGGAATGAACAGGGAGGGTAAGCAG